CTCTCTCTCTCTCTCTCTCTCTCTCTCTCTCTCTCTCTCTCTCTCTTTCTCTCTCATGTCTTCTTAAGCACGTTAAACTAAAGATATTTCCCCTCTTATATACGTGTGTGTGTCTCTGTGTGTAAAGACTCATGCGCGAACGCGCACATATCCGAAAGAGGAAGTAAGATTGCGGTGCTTAGCAGACTATGAAAGTGACACGTCGTGCTGGATTTCCTTTGTGGATATTCCTGGATTAGATATGCCGTTCACCTAACTGAAGTTTCTCTTAAGTAGGCCACACTGTCCTTGATCGTCTCAATATATAATACATATACATATATATATATATATATATTTATATGTATATTTTTCTTAAAAAGGGTGAATACGCATTCTCATTCATGGTACAAGTATACAATTATTATTATATTTTTCACTTATTTTTATATAGATTCAATTTGTAGAATTTTAATACGCCTTTAATACTTATCGATTGAGATTTTAATTAAATAATTCTATTGATTATTCTATTAATTATTAATTATTAACACGTTTATTATAATCACGTGGATTGTTAGTTCGCGCGATTAACTGAATATAGTCGAAATTGTCCAACAAATTCAATTGGTTTTTTTGCAAAATTAAAAAAATAATCAGAGAGAATGTTTAATTACTTATTAATCAATTGTTTCCTCTCTTTTTTTTTTTTTAATCCTAATCGATAGTTACGTTAAAAGTATTCCAAATACACCGTTGCGTTTATTTGCATTCACATTATAGTAGTTTTAATCTTTCGATCAAATTTCCCCTGCCCCCCCCCTCCCTCCTCCCTTCCTTCCACTCCTCCTCGCCCTTTTATAATTATTACTACGCCCGCATAATATTTAATTTTTTCTAATCGTAATATCGTGACGTTAATTGTCGATTGTCCGCTTAAAAATATAACACAGCAGGAGAACGTAAATATAGGTCGGTTTGTATGGGGTATTTATGTTCGTAGTTTTTTTTGTTGAAAAAAAAAAAAAATAAAAAGTAACCAAATATACGACACGTTCTAACGTAAATTCATTATACCCGGTGTCCACGAATCGAGTTAATAACGGGACGGAAGAAACAACGTGTATGGTGTCAGAATGACGAATGACGAGAACAAACGTTGTTGTTTTATCGAAATGTAAAGCTATAAAAACAGAAATAAAAATATATAAATGTATATTACACTCATATATATATACACACACACACACACACACGATAGTAGTCCTAAACCACAGACAGTTCTTTTCTCTACAAACACAATGTAATAACTACTACGCCCATTCTATATACTATATACACATATATACATACATAAATAGCAGAATTTGGTAGACCCCTTCTTCCCTGTCCCTGTCCCTGCTCCGCCCCGTCCTCTACCCACCATAAAGTGGATGCAATAAAATTCTATTTCTAATCCACCAAACTACTAGATCGTATTTCCTCATTTTGATCGAATGCTATTCTTATAAACCCCCGTTCATGCTAGTCTAAATAAATATCTACACAAAACCTGAGTAATAATAGATACTCATAATATTAATAATAATAATAATAATAATAATAATAAAAATAGTATTAGCCTATCTAATAATAAAACATTTCAAACTAACTATTTAAGATCGTATAATTAACTTGCATCTATTATTCCTCGACGTATCGTTAAAAGATATAAACATGCTCTCTCTCTCTCTCTCTCTCTCATTCTCTCTTTCTCATGGAGATTCGATACGATAGTAATCGCATAAACTTCTCTTTCTCTTTCCTAACTCTAACCATTACCAACACCACCACCACCATCACCACCATCAACAATTTCTTCTTCTTCTTACGAGACTTATTTGCGTTTCACGATAAGGGCCCCCGGAGTCCATCGTCTTCTCTCATATACACACGTTATTCCCATACACACACAACAAACACACACAACAAACGCACACATATACATAACCAATGTGCATATTTATTTACGCATGCAAACGGTCATACATAAATCTGCATAGATGTGTATAAAACGCATGCACGCATACATACACATAACACATACACATACACGCAAACGCATATACACACACAAAAATAATACACATACGTGTTAGAGAGTAGTAAAGCAGAAAGTGCATCGTGTGTGCTGCCAGTGCATACTCTTCCTGTTGTCATCTCTGTCTCACACTACTACTACCAACCCAACCCCTCACCTATTCTCATTCTCTCTCTGTATGATATTCATGTATGTATATATGCGTGTGTGTTGGTTAGTCTTCGCGTTCGGTCGATCACCCTTCGTCACTACGTTCCCCTTTCCTCTCCTCCTCCTCCTCCTCCTCCTCTTCTCACCCATCCTCGTTTATCCAACGCGCGTGTACACGGATCCCGATAGCAGTTCAGCTGACGACTGACGTCGTCTCCTAACGTTTACCTCCCTCCCCCTGCCCCTGCCCCCCCTATATGCATCATTCCTTCCCTTTCTTCTCCCCGTATCACCATTTCCCCCTTTTATTCTCGTACACACAATTCCAAACACCCACCCACCCTTCCATCAATCTGAATATATTTTTGTCCCCCCCCTCAACCTCCCCCCCTATCCCGTACTCATAGCGTAGTATTATTAACTATGCGTGTTAATTTTACATACGTGTTTTTTTTTTCAGTAACGCGCGAGCGCGCACACTTTTAAAAGAGTTTTATTGTACTTTCTTTTTGTTTCGGATCACACATCTATGTTTTTTTTCTATTTTCGTTGAGATTTCTTTTTCTTATCATTATTATTATTATACGTTTAAACGAATATTTGTTTTTCAAAATTATATCGGCAAGAATTATCTTTATTTCCTTTTTCTAATAAATTTTCTTCTTTTTTTTTTTTTTTTTTTTTAAGTAGATTTGCATTCGTGCGCGTCAACGTTGGGAAAATTAAAAAAAGGAAAACTATAAATAAAAGTGTTATCCTTTTAAAAAATATATAACGCATGACAAGCAGCAACGTGTAAACGGTTCGGAAGGGTTCGTAATTCGTAAACGGGTTTACGAAGGTACAGATTTTATTTTGGGATTTCGTTGCTTTTGTTATATATATATATATGTGATTTTTTGCGAAGGTATAAATTCGTAGATTAAAAAATATTTAATCGAAATAACATATAAACGATTATATTCAAAATATGATTATTCCAATCGTTGGTTGGTAACAATATCCAAAAAAAAAATAAAGAGAAAAGAAAAAAAAAATCAAACACCCTACGTATTACAAACTTTTCATTTCGATTCATATAAAAAAAAAAAGAAAATAGGATTAATCTCGAAAAAAGGGACAACAACCAATTGGATATCTCGTACGTTTGTTTGTTAATTTTTCTTTTCCCCTTTTGTTTAATCGATAAAAATCATAAACGTTATTCTTCCTTAATACAAAAAGCAACGAAAGAAAGAGAGAGAGAGAAAGAGAGAGAGAGAGAGAAAAAACAATTGTAACAAATATATTTTCAAGATAACAAATTCTAATTAAACAAATTACTCCACCCTATCCCTTCCCCCTACACCACCCCATTTCAAATTTTTCTCGATAAAATATTATATTTCGAAATGTTACTTTTAAAGGGCACGAGAAATTCCGAGATTATCGATCTATCGAATCTTCCCTCCTCCTATGACGTATGTAATATCTTTCTCTATATCTATGTATGACGTCATTACACGGAACAGAAAGGGTGGTTATACACATACATACATACATATATACATATATTACGAAGCGTGTAGTACTTCCGCGTTCTACTACTGTCCTCATCCTTCCACCCTTTTAAACAGGAATGAATGTAGGGGAAAGGGAAGGATAGGGAATGGAAGGGAAATAGGGGGAAAGGGGGCGGGTGGGGAGGGTTCGAGAGTCACGTGCTGCAATCTCGATCGACCTCTCGATACGTACGACGCGCGTCCGTACCTATTTTACGCTCGAGTTTCCCCAGATTTCCTAAGTGGAGTAAACGCGTGTTACTATACCCATAGAATCGACCACATGACTCCTCTCTCTCTATCTATCTCTATCAAGGTCTCCGACCTTGAAAATAATTTCTCGTAGAAATATAAGAATATTCTATTGAGATAATATAAGAAATTTTTTAATAACACAATATATGTAGAACATATTGCAACAAGAAATATAGGAACTTTTATGTTTTTTGTATTAAAAAAAAATGAAATGAAAATTCAATTTAAAGGTTTATAATAAAATACAATTTATAATATTAATTCGCGTATAATTGATATATCGAAGAAATGTATTTATAGATCGTTGTAAAAGTTTCCTAGTTTTCTTTTTTCTTTTTTCTTTACCGTGATTTTAGTAGTGTCTATTACAACGAATTGAATATTTATTATTTGATTTTATATTCATTATATATATATATATATAAAATATCCTATATATATATAGGAAAGATTTACGAATAATATTGGAATAATTTTTGAATATGAAATTTTGTTAATTCGTTTTTTGTTTTTTATTGATACACATCATCGTGATTTATTACGTTAATTGTTGACGATAAAAATGAATAATGGTAATATAGACAAACTATTCAATTTTAATATTTTTTGCTGATCAATCGGCAATAGAACTTTTCATTCAATTTCCAATACACATATCTATATATGCATTTACGTTGGTTAAATATTCGTATCATTAAAATAGAACTCCGAATCTCCGCGGATTCGTTCCCATTCATTCGTCTAACCGTTGCTTTTTTTAATCAGTAAAATACGCGGATAAGAGAATAAGGGTAGACCTACATATCTACTATCTACACATATATATATATATGTTATTTCCTTTTTCCAAAAGCCGTTAGAGTAACAAAGTTCTTCCTTTCACAGCCGTTAAATTCGGGCGTATGTCAAAGAAACAGAGGGAAAAGGTCGAGGATGAGGTCAGGTTTCATAGGGCACAAATGAGAGCGGCCTCTGAAACGGCTCCCGATAGCAGTGTGTTCGAGCATCAAACGCCCAGCAGTTCGGATCAGCACCACCCTTACAACGGCGGGTCAGTAGTATCTGCATTAACCAATAATAATAATAATAATATATCAACATTAACAAATACCAATGTAACTAACGATATGATAAAAATAATGAATTATAATCGTAGGAACGATTATTATGATGAACCTCATATATTTGCAAATATTACGGCTAGGTACCCGTACGGTGGAAGCGAATACGCATCACCAGGACCCGGTACAGGTGGTTCAGGTTATTACAATCATCAAGCGATGACGAATTACGAGCTGAGCGCCGATTACGTCGACAGTACGACGACCTACGATCCTAGGCCGACGCAGACGCAAGTGACGGACACCGTTGCACCAGACACACCCTCAGCAGTCACGGCAACTGGAGTATTACCCAGTGTGGTCACCACCGGTAAGCACCAATTCACTTTTTTTCTTTCTTTCTTTTTCTCCCCCTTTATGATATCTATCAATATTTTATTTATTTTCCTTTTTCAATCATTTACGAATAGATATATATTTATATGAATATATATCTTATTTTTACTATTTGTCTATTTATCTCTATTTCTTTTTTCTTTCCTGATCCTATTTATTTCTTTCTTTTTCTTTTTCTTGTATCATCTGTTACCGATCATTCCTACAAATGACTCCTAAATATTCCTACCCMCCCCCCCCCCAAAAAAAAGAAAATACTTTATTATTTCGCCGCCATTAATGCTAAATTAATCGAAAACTAACAACAAGCACATTCATTATTTTATTCGTCGTCGAACGACGCGTACCACCAACCGCGTTTACGCGGTACCGGCAGGAAAATAAGACACAGACACGCTCGTATAATTAATTATAATAAATTTTACAATTAGATCAATTTGAATCATTGATTATAAATCGATAACAAATGAGAAATCTAACAACAACAACAAAAATATCATCGAATCGAGCAAATTATTCCTACAGGTACCGCGCGCGTATTGGTTGGTTGGTTGGTTGGCGCTTTTAAATTCGCGTCTCGGGTCTGTTATCCAATGGGCCGAATCCCCTTCGGATTGTTAAGGGATTCGTTCTAAGCAAGGGTGATCTCGGGAGGGGAGGAGGGAGGGATGATAGAAATAACGCTACGATGATAATGATGACGAGAATACAAAAATATGCAAAAGAGAGAGAGAGAGAGAGAAGGAGAATGAAAAGATGGCGTTGTTATCGAGGGAGCTTCCTGGTGGTCACCCTTGTGCCGCGTGTTCGTAAAAAACAAAAAAAAACGAAAAAAAAAGCAGAGGAGCAAAAAACCCTGCTGAAAGCCGTGAACTTTGACTTTTCGGCGCAACCAGGAAAGTCGCTATCTGCCTCGACAACCGGAAGCAGCACAGGCGGTGGTGGCAGCGGGGGCGGGGGTAGCAGTGCTGGTGGAGGCGGCGGCGGCGGCGGGGGAGGAGGAGGAGGAGGAGGTGGTGGAGGAGGCAGCAGCGGCGGTGGAAGTGGTGGTGGTGGTGGTGGTAACGGTGGTAGCAACGCTGGTAGTACCAGTAGTGGTGGTGGTGGTGGTGGTGTTGTTGGTAGTGGTAGTAACGGGGGTGGAGGAGGAGGAGGAGGTGGAGGTGGTGGTGCTGGCACCGCTGCTACCGGTGGAACGGTTGGTAGCGCTGGTGGAGGTGGTGGTAACGGTGGTGGTGGTGGTGGTGGTGGTGGCAGCGGTGGTGGCGGTGGAGGAGGAGGAGGTGGGGGTGGTGGTTCACTGAGCGGGGGTGGAATCGTTGCTGTCAAGCAAGAAAGTACCGTCGAACTCGCCAGCTTGGGACACGGCTCGTACACGATGGTCGACTCGACGACCTTTCTGAGCGGTCAGCAACAGAGGGTCAGCAATCCATCCGAGGACGACGAAGTGCCGAGTCTGCCCAGTATGTCCCATGCGAGATGTGAGGTTACGTTTGTGTCCCTTTGCATGGGCATGTTCGCGCTCTATATCTTTTTATATATATATATATATATCTTTTTATATATCTTTATATTATATATATATATATCTTATCTCTTACTTTATATATTTTCGTTTCATTTCTTACTTTCTTACTTTCTTTCTTTCTTTTTCTATCCTTTTTTTTTTGTTTTTTGTTCTTTATTCGCGACAAAGAGTCCGCGTATGTGAAAAAGAGAAATTTTTGTTGAAATTTAATAAAAAAAGTAAATAAAACAAACTATCCTACGATTTGATCGTACTTTTACTCCTTTCGAGAAAGAACGCTAACTCCCCATCTTCAAGATCATCTTGTTTGTTGAAAGTAAATGTGGAAGATAGAGTCGTGAGTCTTATCCGATAAACTGAGAAAGATAATATCGAGTTCCTCGTAAGATGGATACTTTGCGATTACGTGTTCTCTATCTTATTTCTTTCTTTCTACTTCTACTTCTTCTTCTTCTTTATTTGTCGTTTCTTTCTTTCTTTCTTTCTTTCTTTCTCTTCAATTATCATTTCTGTTTTTCTTTTTCTTCTTTTCATTTCGTTAATTTACTTTTTTAACATCTTCTCCGTTCTTTCCTATTGTTTTAGATTTTTTTGTCTTTTTTTTCCTTCCTTATTTTATTATATTTTCTCTCGAAACTTTTTCTACGGTGCTTTCGATGGTCTTTTTTTTTTATTTATTCTCGCACGAATAAATCGGCTAAGCAACTTTGTCGTAAATGTTATTATTCATTTTACTTATTATTTTTTGCTCATGCTGCATGAAAATGTAATACTTCGAAAAGGTTCGATGATAATAATAATAATAATAATAATAATAATAATAATAATAATAATAATAATAATAATAATGATGATGCATTTATCTGTTACGCCGATGGAAAAAAGAAAAAAAAATCACTTTAGTTTATTTTAATTATACAAACGTAAAAAAAAAAAAAAAAAAAGAAAAAAACTAAAATAAAAATCAAAATAAATCGATGGGTGTTTGAAATTGATTCAACTGACCAAATCGTATTTTTGTCTTTGACGTATTATTTTTATAAACAAACCGTACATACGCGGACTCTTCTTATTCTTCAGTAACCACATACCTAACGGCGATTTCGACGTGCTCGCGTGACCCACCCGCATCGACCATGTCGGTTAGATAAAGACCGTTTAATATGGATCACACAGCAACAACTTGGAAAGTAGATGAACGACGACGACGGGACTAATAGTCCAAACGTGTCGAGCATCAACGAATACGACTACGACTACGAACTACGAACTACGACTAAGACGACTCTACGAAACTTTGGAATGGAAATATACTTTCGTAGTATAATCTTAAAAAATGTACCGTTAGAAAGAGAGAGAGAGAGAAATTCTTTCGAAAAAACTTATATTATTTTTCTCAATGTGATCCATATTACTCGACTCGTAGCTTTTCTTTTTTTTTTTTCTTTTTTCTGCACGTAGAAAATTATACGAAACTTCCTCACCTCACCCACCCCCTGATCACCCTTCTTCTTCTTCCTCCTTCTTACCCCTCTCGCTCGTTATTGAATTAAAGTGACACGCGCCGTTCGGCACGCAAGAATATTGTCTTATATATATGTCACCGTCAAAGTTGGAAATCAGTAATTGCTAGTAAATCCCCTATCCCACCCCCTTCCTCCAAAACCACCCATACAGGTAACAAAATATTTGCCGAAACTTTTCAAAGAAATGGCAAAGTAGGCAAAATTTGCAGCATTTTTTGAACCCTTTTTGAATCCTTTGCGAATTAATTTATAACTCAATATGGTATTCTACTTGTAGACAAAAGAGTGTAGTTTAATTTAATATAAAAATCATTAAAATCCATTCATTTTTAGTATAAACAATATTTACCAAAATTTTTCAGAACGAAACGTTTTTTACCTGTATGGATTGTTTTGGGGGAAGGGGTTGCGTATGGCTGTGTGTGTCTGTGCTCGAGAATGTATTCTTTTCAACGTTGTTTAAATAGTCATTTGATATTCTATAGAATATCAAAGTATTATGTTCGATGCCTAGAATAAACTGGAAGAATTTTTCAATTTCCGACTTCGTCTGAAGTCTCTTTGCATTCATAGTAATTCCGAGGAATTACTAGCAATGACTGATTTCTGGTTTTGACAGTAACATATATATTGCTTTGTATTATTTTTATACGTACGAAGGATAATGAAATAACAAATATAACAAAACCTTTGATTACCCATTTCCCAATCATAAAAATTGAATTCCTTTCGTAGTAGTGCCTGAAGCAGCTTCGATGTATCGAGTAGCGAAATTAAGTAAATACATTTATTTTATGAACAAACAAACAAACAAAAAATATATATATATATATA